GGGTTTGATTTGTTGGGCCTATTTGTGAATGTGTGTGTGATCTTTTTGTATGTCCGTGCAAGCATGTATATGTGTTGTGTTATTATGCATGTGTATGCTAGTGTCTGTGGACATGTGTTTACTCTACACCACCAATTGTTGCCTATAAATATGCATTGAGCTTACATACATTTCCTCTTGTAAACTGTGGAAAGAGCCAGGTTTCCCCAGCCATGCACTGTAAAAGCTGAACTGTAAGGGGTTTTCACTGGACACAGTGCATCACTCCTTGTGTGATTACTGGACTAAAAAAAGTCATATTTTTTGGGGCAGCAATTTTACTATTCATTGTGAACAAATTAGGTCTGTTGCAACATCTTGTGGTTTTAAGGTGCTGTTCTCCTTCGAGGTTTGTGAACACTGTCATCGTAAAAAGCCGTCTGTTCTCATTATAGATGTGAAGCCAGTCAGATAAAAGGATATTTTTGATAACTGTTAGTGCTTCTGCTTGGCCTTTAAAATGTATGTCACAATGACAGTGGCGTTTATTACATATTAGATATAAATATTATAATTTATAAGTTATAAGTTTTTCCAGGTATGATGTTTCATAGAACCATTCAGAAGTAACAAAAAAAACTTATTATGATAATGTTTTACTCAAAGCAATATCAAAGCCAGTGTTTTATCTTGCTCCAAAGTCCTCCTTTGCCCATTAAAACAAATCTACTGAGACATTATTTCATAAGCTTGATAAAAAGGCCTAGAGTCAGATTTGGTCAGGGAGATATGCCAGAGTCCCAGTCAAATAGCTATAGTATTGTATTGCTATCTATTCTGATGCTATCATGAACAATTTCATTTATTTTTGACCTGCCAACGCTCCCAGACTTTGGAATCTATGAGAGAAGCCTTTGTGCTAGCGTAAAATACGTATTGTCACAGCCATAGTTTTTCTTTTTTGTACTAACAATTATGCTTGTCGTGCCACTAAGGAAATAAGGAGCTAATTTCCTCTTTTTATAGTTAATAGATATACTGTATATCTTCTCTGTGAACTATTGCAGAGAATGTCTTTTTTCATCTTTCATTTTCACTCACTGTCTTCACTCTTTTAGTTACTTTCATGCTGGATGGGAATCAGTACCATCTATCAATAACCTTAGTATAAAAGCAAAGTGACGCAGAATTGAATAGCCAACCTATATGCTGTAAAAACATTGAAGTTAAGTGGATTTGGTGACTATTCGAGTGTAGTTGTGTGTAAGGTCCTGTTAGCCACCCTTGGAGATGCTGTAATATACATTAAACCTCATACAAAGTGTTGAATGGAACTAATCATAGATCATAGATTTTGCTTTCCTGTGCTCTGCTTAAATTGTAGAGCTTCTCCCAAGGTGCCAGAGGAAAGGTCATGGGATCATTAAAATCAAAAGGTTTTATCTTGTTGCGATATCTGATCATAGATCCTGAGAAGTTGACATTTTCGTGTGGGGTGGAATGTGCAAAATAGAAAGGGTTCATCCTCCAGGGAGAATGGTTCTTGTACATTCAATGGCAATCTCCCAAACATTTTTATATATTCTGTGTACAAATGGAAATGTGGCCCTCCATGGTGGTGGCGCGAGATCAGGGGGTGACCAATAAAATTAGCTTTCATCCTTTAACAATCTGCTGGGACTTACCTTTACATTTTTTAATCCCAAGTAGGAGGTTATTCAGTCACGGTTTTATCACTTAAGGAATGTATCCAAAATTAAGTTATTTCTGTTTGCCCCTGACCTGACCTGCCTTGATTTCATCCCATCTCGACTAATATAATTTCCTTATACTCTGCACTTAGTAGACAAGCACTTATTTGTCTGCAGTTGATTCAAAATGTTGTTGCCAGGCATTTGACTGGAAGTGAGACAAGACAATATGTTAATCTTATTTCACCATCTCTCTATTATATAAAACATTTTGATATTTTATTGATTACATATTATGTTAGGTGATGATGATGATGATGTGATGTGATGTGATGTGATATGACTACCCAAAATATACTATACATGAAGGTTTTGTGCATGGTTTTTCAGGGGATAGAAAAAAAAGATAGTATACTGTTTTTGAACGCAGTGAGTACCCAACTCCACTTTCGTCAAAAGGAACAAGAGATGTCAGAGTCTGAGGGTGTTAAAAAGCAGCCACTGTAGAGTCTGCTTTAATAATTCAGAGCAACTAAATAGGTCACACAAGTATTAATTAAGCAGAGCAGGGTATGGGGGAGGGAGAAGAAGAGGGAAGGTTGAGTGAAAGAAAGATGGACACATAAGTAGTTATGGCAGAGAAATAAGCGAGAAGAGTGCAATCAAATGGAAAAGTGGTGGGAGAAAAGAAGATAAAAACAGAACAAGTTAGAGAAGAAGAGTGGGGGAGAAAAGGAGACAAGACCAGAGGAGGAAGGCGGTATGGTGTAACGGTCTATATTATTTGCACTAATAAATGGAGCAGCGTGGGAGTTCCCGGCCCGTCATCACCGCCATCCCACACACATATACTGTACATACTCACGCAAATCAAACATGTTAATTCATTTTCTAGCTGCTAAATCTCCCCATCATCAGAATTTGACAGAGTAATGGTCACACACACTAATGCAAAAGAGTCAACTTCCACGCATGGAATCAAATGAATAGCTCACGCAAGCTCAACTAACATGCATGCAAATCCCCTTTGCAGCAAACATGCAGTTGTAACAACTGTTGCAGCATCACACATGATTGTATGTTAAGTTACTGAAAACATTCACGAGAGTTCTTTAATCCATCTCCTGCTGTTCCCTAAATACCACACATGCACGTTGGGAACAACTGAACAGTTTGCAGTATTTGGTTGTTTATCTTGAGGCAGTAAAATGTGTTGGAAGTCTTGGCCTCCTGTCTCTCAGCTGAGTAAGTTCAAAAATCATCGTGATGAGCTGTCAGAGTTGAGATAATGTATCGCTGCTAGCAAAATATAGCATTAGACCTACAAGAATGAACATTGTGTCACTTCTCTATCAATATTCTCTATTAACTAATTTGTAGCGCTACTGAATGATAAAATTAAAAAAGTAATAATACAATACATGTTTTAAAACAATTGTGTCTGCTGTACTGTATCTTGCTATGCTGGGCTATTTTACAGCCATGGCTTAGTATTATCTGTAGGATTTTGCGGTCTCTTTTGGGATTGTTGTGACCTAAAATTCCTAATTTAATGGCAGCTTTTCTAAGGCAACGTGTTTCAGTCAGAATAACATCACTAGAAGTTTGGTGGCTTATAGATCATTGTTTTGCGGCGGGACTGCTATGATTGGTTAAAACAATGATTTTGAAATTTGCGGAAAATTTGCAGTGATTGGACAAAATTGCAAGGTCCCAATGAATTCACAGGGATTGGTTGAATTTACATTAACTGTTTTAATCTCAACATTGCTTCTTCCTGGAGGGACTGTATTATGATGTACAGGAAGGCCTCAAAACAATTTCAATACTATTGAAAAAGGCATTCAAACTGATTCAGATTCAAATGGTGATAATATAAGCCCTTTTTTATATATTACTCTGTAAATTGCTGTTTTAATTGAGTATTGCATAGTTTAAGCTTGGCTTAGTTGTGAATCACCCTTCTAAAAAGTGCACTAACCCCAGCTGTCTCCTGTCTCTCCTCATCTCCTTCCTCTCCTCTCTCTGAGACCAATACTCTTATGCCCTGAAGTCAGCAGACATGACAACTGCGCCAGGGCAGACAGTAGGCAGTGGATTATGCAAGAGCCAAATTTCATGGTCTAATGAAGATTTTCTACTTTTCTTCTTGCAACAGTACTTGTCTTCAGCTATAACTACAGAGTACCATGTTACTCAATCATTTATTGCTCCTGTCTACTGGCCGCTTTGCTGTCCATGTCTCCACTGATTTGGCCAAAATGAGAGCAAAAGAGCGAGTAGATTTGGTTCAGATTAATATTGATGGACTTGCTTCTTGTCCCTTTGCAGATTTTTACTGGGTTTTAGTGATGAAAATGGATGCAAAGCCTAGTTATTTAATCAGTCTTACTCTTGGTATTTAATTATTTAGTTGCTCATGGAACAAAACATAATAAAGTTGACTCATATATATTTAGTCCCACATATAAGGGGTTCCCTCAGCTACTATGTGGAATGTTATACACTCAACTTGATTTCATAATTTATAGTTTTAACAGGCCTTTTCATAATTGAGTTATTGTCAAGAATACAGTACCAAGAAATAAGCATGTGCTTTTGCTCATGGGTACTTTAGAAGCTGATGCTGAGGTGCACTTGAATAAGGGATGGTACTGCATAGTGGCCAACTATATACTGTGGTTGTACTGTTCAGCTGAAGTGTGTGAGTACTTATGGATCTCAGTCTAGAAAATCTGTTAAAAGAGTATTTACAAGGTATATGTCATGCTGAACTATCACCATCGAGGGTCAAGTAGAGTCAAGGGCACACAATAATAATAATAATAATAATAGTAAAAACAATAGGCTGCTTGTGCTGGTACCCTTTCAAACACCCGAAAATATTTTTGAACCACCCACATCAACTGAATAATTATGAGTTGCTACTTGACAGTGTCATAACAATTAGATGGCAGATTCACTGACTTTCATTCATTCTCACCAGTCTAATTTTGGAGGAGGATTTTTCTCTTAATATACAAGATGCAGAGGTAGTTGCAAAAAAGCAACAATATTCATTCAGTAAATGCACATACACAAAAGAAAGATATATGCCATCCTTTTCTTGTAGATAACTTCTTTTTTTTAGACTAACCAAATCAAGTTTTAGATTAACCGAACCAATTTACTGGGTATACTGTCAGCAAAATGTAAAATGGTGACAAACCTAATCGGGTGCCAAGTGATTAATTAACTGGACTGTGATCCAGATGGGACATGATTATGATGAACATACATACAGAATATTAACATCCCTTAGTAATTCCTGTTCTCTGTACTCCATCTCAGATGGTTACACTACAGATGACATTGAGTTCTACTGGCGAGGCGGAGACAATGCCGTGACGGGGGTGGACAAGATTGAACTGCCGCAGTTCTCCATTGTGGATCATAAACTCATCTCCAAGAATGTCGTCTTCTCCACAGGTAATGTGAACAAACGGGCTGAAATACATAAATCACGGCAGTAATAAAAGAGACCAATTTAGGCTTAATTAGTCAACTGTACGAGGTTGAACACACAACCAGCAACACTAATACAACCTTATGCAATTCAGTATTATTAGCTCTGTAAATATTATCTTATTATCTATTATCTATCTTATAGCATACAATAATTTTCCGAAATGCAAAATGTTATGTAAATGCACAAACATGCAGTGCATGGAAAACTAGTGCAGTCCTGGGAGACAGAAGACACCATGACTTATTTAACAGCAATAAACAAAAAGAATGCTGTCTGATACAATGAAATATTCACCTCTACTGCATTTTCATATTCATGAATTTGTCATGCAAGCGAGTAAATGTAAGCGGGACAGCAGTTCTACTGAATACCGTTCCTGGGTACTGTGCTGAATGAAAGCAGAACATGAATGCAATAAGAGGGTAGAGAGCGCCAATGAGAGGACTCAATTTGTCTGCAAGGGTCACACATTTCACATAACCCTATTAATAACATAATGCTTCCTGATGAATGCACAATGTTTGTATGCATGTGTGTGTGCCTGTGTTTGTTGTCCATTAATATGAATGCAAGTAAGTCTACCAAAGTGTGTCCCTTCACTATGTGCCTGATGAGAGATATGGCAGACGGGGGATTCCCTTTTACCATGCTGGCTGTTGCGATATGGAGAGACCGACCTGGGGGTCACTCAGAGATGCAAACGTCAGCACAAGTGCTTGGGCATTTATCCAATGCAAGAGTCATGTTTCACACCAAGGATGGGCAATGTCATTGTTGTCCTTATGAATAATATATATTCACTGTTGCACCTACGTCCTGTCATTTTCTACCCAAGCTGTTTCCTCACTTCATAAAGAAATAATTCAGTGCTTCATGCTCACATAACTGAAATAGCAGATCTAAGTGGTGAAAGTCCAAGAGAAGCTGAGGCTGGTGGATTTTTGCTGCCTTCATTAAAAAGACTTAATCTTTCTCCTGTGCCCAGCTTCTGTTTCTGCAATAAACTGTTTATTTCAGTGTTTTCTATCTCTTCTTGTGGTGCCTTTCCCTATTCAGTTGTAATGCAACCAAAATATAGCCAATTCCCTAAGGAGAGAAATATGTGTGCTGATACAATTTGCTATTACCAAAACCCTGCTGTGGGCTTATTTCAAATAGAGCATAGATAAGCAAAAAAAAAGCAGGACCCTCAACAGACAAGCCATCAAACCTCTTGCACAGGCAATAGCGAACAGGTAATTCTGGAGAGCGCTGATGCTTCAGTTCAGTGAAGACAGCAAATATGGCTTTTTACTGAGTTCTTCTGCAATGGACAACCCAGGGATCGGAGACTATATGACTGGATGGGACTCAGTAGTCCACATTGTTGATGTGATGATTTACAGTATGGAAACCTAATGTTGATAAAAAGCTTGGAAGAAGAACTGCTAAAGAAGTACAGTCTACATTTTAAGATCCCTTGCATAGCGTATCATAGTAAAACATAGTAAAACCGATATAGTGAAAAGAGTGCGAAAGCCCGCATATGTAGGCGATGGGTGGATGGATTGGTTGCTTTTAATCATCAAAACAACTTAACCTTTTACTAATAATATGTTGTGCATAAATTTAACCATAACCTTACCATAGATAGGGCAGATCAGAAATCATCTGTTTTTTTTACACCTGTTTTACCTGTTGTGTTGTTTTGGCAGCAAAACTTCTTGTTTTAACTTATGCTGAGGTCTGAAAACATCCCAAAATATTCACTTTATGGGAGATCTCTAAAATAGCATTATCAAAAAAACATAAAGTCCTGGATACCTGGCAAATACATCACCCAACACTGCATCTACTTGCTTTTTTTCTTCCCCCGTCCCATCTCTGCAGGTGCTTACCCTCGTCTGTCCCTGAGTTTTAAGCTGAAGAGAAACATTGGGTACTTCATCTTGCAGACATACATGCCTTCTATACTTATCACCATCCTCTCCTGGGTCTCCTTCTGGATCAACTATGACGCCTCTGCTGCCAGAGTGGCTCTAGGTGAGGCCTGCAATACAAATATAGACAGATAGGCGGGATGGTTGAAACAGGGGTGGACATTTCAAAGAAGATTGTACTGGCACTGAAATCAACTCACTAGGGAAATCCGAGAGAAAGCAATTCATGGATTTAATTTTTTTTCACTTCATAGCATTCATATTCACATCATTCACTTGAAGGGCAAAGGCAGGGAACATTTAGGGTATCAAATGCACTTTTCACAGTCCTTCCAAAAAACGCATTGTTTTTTTGTGATTGTTGCGGGCAAAAATCCTTGATTATGCGGCACGTTTTCTTAAAAAATGTGATGGAATATGCGGGAACTTGCATAAACTGCGGCTTCATCGCGGCGTTTGCAGCTTTTCGATGATGTTCACGTCGTGTAATTACGTCACTTCATTACATCACTTCATTACGTTCCCATGGCAACAGGGGAAAATGGCTGCTCTTGTGTGAAGTAAACACAACATTTTTCAACTTTCTGCTAAGATATATGTGACTTTTTTTGCAACGAAAATGCGGCCCCTGCATAAATATGTGGACTTTGGCTGATTATGCATTGAATTATGCGATCGCATAATCACGTTTTTCTGGAGGGACTGTTTTCAGTGCTGCAAAGGCCATGACTTTTCATTGTAAAGATTCATATTCATACAGTTATTTAAAATTTTCATCTTATCTTTTTACCTTCATAAATTAGTTAATTAATTACTGTGCTTTGTTATATTATATGATATATTATGACTGTGAGTGTTAACAGGGTCAAATATCCATCCCAGTGATTTGTTTCCACTTTGATTCGAGAGCCTCTGTGCTTTTCTGGAAGTCACAATTTCACCCCGTCATTCTCGATTATGTAAACCCCATGTAGCCTGTGAGGTTTGTATTGAGGTTCCAACTTATTCTGTGTTTATTGGAAGCTCCCTGTCTTCTTTTCACCCAACTCCACCCACCCAGCTTCATCCATCCTTCTACCCATCCCTCGCTTTAGTCGACAAGGCAATTTTGCTGATTGACGACTGAGCTGCATTTAGTGATCCGCGGGGAAGGCATGCATGGGATTTAATGAAAAAAAAAGTAATGCTCCATAATGGAGGAGGGTCAGCAGAGTTGGGAAATGTTCGGTCACCCCCCCAGTCTACACTGGATTCAGGAACCACTTTACTCTGACCTGCTTTCAGGCATTAAAATGGACCTGTAATGGCTGAATCACATGGCCACTGTGCTGCAGAAATCCTTTGTTGTTATTGTTAAGCTCTTGCAGCAAATGCCTGGGAAAATTGCCTGAATCCTATTTTGAGCTGTCACCTGACAGCTTTGTAACAGCTGTATAATAATTAAGTAATTGTTTACTGAGGCTTTAATAGAAATTGCCTTAAATAATCACACTGTGTGTGCTTTCAAAGTAGAATATACAGGTGCATTGGGGTGGATTCGTGAGCCCTATAGGAGCTGAGAACACAATTATTTAATCATATTTAAGCTTTAGAATCAGCCGCTTATATAATTCCTGCATATAGATAATACCATAGACACACACTATAGTCAGCACACTACATCCAAGAGCCAGTTCTAAAATGGCAAAAATATTAAATTAAACTACTGCTAGCTAGGGGTAGCGTGTCACTCATAATAAGCACAAACTCAACACATTGATATGCACAGTCAATCCGACAGTAACTATCCCCACAGCTTGCTGGCTGAGGCTTTTGAAAACCGTCTACAACTTTTCTCAGTAGGAGTTCTCCACTAATGAACAAGACCAAGGTTGACATTTGAATTTCAAATTGCTGCACTGCTTTAGGTGCACGTCTTTTAGCTCGTCTCCCAATGCATAGTTTGAAGTCGTGGGGGTAAGCCCCTCAGTTCCATTGATCCTGACAGGCTTAATGAAGCACAGACATGGTAACAAGTTGATCACAAAGGTGTCTTGCAGTTGGAAGGATTCAAACTGCCACACACTGAACTTAGTTGTAAGTAAGTAGTAGTGGTGCAATTGATTTCATAGACACATATATGCCAATGCCAAATATGTAGTTTATAAAGCAGAACTAACTCTTATTTTGTTATTTTAACATTCATGACTCACCACACCATTTCTGTTTCAATGTAATGAATGTGGTCTTTCTCCACCAGGTATTACCACGGTGCTCACCATGACTACCATTAACACCCACCTGAGAGAAACCCTCCCCAAAATCCCCTATGTCAAGGCCATAGACATGTACCTCATGGGCTGCTTTGTCTTTGTCTTCCTGGCTCTGCTGGAGTATGCACTGGTAAACTACATCTTCTTCGGACGGGGTCCTCAGCGTCAGAAAAAGGCAGCTGAAAAGACAGCTACAGCCAACAACGAAAAGATGAGGATGGACCAACACAAGGTAAAAATAGCTTAGCTTGCCTCAGTTTGTAGACCTGCATTTTAGTTTCATTTAGAACCCCCCACCCCACCCCCCAAAAAAAGGAAAAGGAAAGAAAAGAAAAAGCTCTAGATTCACAGAATCAAACATTTTCTTTTCTTTGCCATGAAAATTGTATTATTCATAAAGCTGTCTAAGGAGCTCAGAATAATGACTCCAATGGAGGGTTGACCTAATGTTTCCTGCCTACACTGTGCCAATTTAAGCCAGGCTAATAACCTTTTACTATGCCTGTTGAGCTGAAACAGGGTGAAAGAAGGTCTCTGAGCCACTTGGCTGTTTGTCTTGAAAGAGTTGCATTAGCTTTCACAATTTTGCTCCCAGTTAACATGAGCCAAATGATTACTAGTAGAGATGCAAAATGGCGTCCATAACACGGATATACATGGACATGCTGATATCAGTTGAATACTGAGTAGAATGACATTAAGTTAAGGCAAAGGATGAAAATTAAACTAGATTTGTGTTTTTAATAATTTGATAACAAGAGGAAACTCCAGTTAAAACTGTGTACTGCTGTTTGTGACCACAAGCATTCTGTACTTACTAGTGAACACAAGGATTTAGTTAATTTACTTATAAAATGTACATTGTTGCCAACCAATATCCACCGAAACAAATAAAACCTCCTTCCACTAGTTTTCAGTAACCATGTTGATGCCATTTGCTTGCAGTGGCTGGTGGGGAATGTAGTTGGCAGAGATGATACTCTGTATGCAAGAATGAAACAAAGGGATCTTGATGGTCATGACTCGATGTGGGAACCAATCTTTGTGGATGACGCAGCAATCGGACTTGGCGATCAAAAGAATAAGGTACCACAAAATACTACTCTTTTGTACACACAACACAATCATATTATGCATATATGTATTTGTTTTTGGCCACCTGGCCAAAATAAGGCCAATATTCTTTGGTTGGGTTAATCTTCACCAACTGCTGAGGGAAATATCTGGCTCATTAATCACAATTAAATACTCCATTATGTTTACCGGCAAGTTGTTAACTTTGTCTCTCTGCTGTTTGGTGCTAGGAAGGTAAAACAAAAGCCATAAACTGAAAGATGCTAAAATGGTCCATAGATCATGATAACACACATAATCTCATAAATAGTTAATATATTCTGAAGTAATATATCTGTAATATACTGTCTCCACATTTTTTTAAACATTATTTTCTACTTTTTTATTATTTATTTAGTAAAATGTTATTTATTAGAGAAAAAATGTTGACTTGACTATTTTCCTTGGGCAGATGGACCCACATGAAAACATTCTTTTAGGCACCCTGGACATCAAGAATGACATGGGCGTGTCAGAGCTGGCTCTGGGTCTCAATGACCCACGAAATACAATGCTGACATATGACAGCTCAACGCTACAATACCGCAAAGCAGGACTGGCCAGGCACAACTTTGGAAGAAACACGCTGGAGTGCCACATGACTCAAAAGAAGAGCCGACTACGGAGGCGCGCTTCACAGCTAAAGATCAACATCCCAGACTTGACTGATGTAAACTCTATTGACAAATGGTCGAGGATAATCTTCCCAACTGTCTTTTCCTTCTTCAACATTGTTTACTGGCTTTACTATGTCAATTAAAAGAAAAAAAGGACATCGGTGAGGGCAAGAACAAACAGCAAAATATGTTGCTCATTTCTTGTTTGTATCTGGTTTGTTTCATTTTTTATGTAATCTCGTAATACTGGACTGAATTATTATATTCAGGACAAGATCCATCATATCTTGGAATACCACATTTGCTGGCTAACACGTGAAAACCTTATAAAAGAGAGATTACAAACATATAAGGTGCCTGTTCCTGAGTAGTTGTTTAAAATTTTAAATATTTTGTGAATTGTGAAACATTTTTTTAAATGTTTGTTTGAATATTTTTTATGTTTTTATCATGTTAGATTTACAGCATACACAATTCATTGCCAAAATATCATATCAGTTAGATACAAACTGACAAGCTGACATATATAAATGGCCGATACTTTCACTGACACTACTTAAAAAGTGCTGAAGCAAGTTTCAGGTCAACAGGGTTTTTTAAGATAAGTTATGTCATAAATGTATTGTTACTGGAATTAATTTCCTATTAATATTATAGAGGCCTAAAGTTAACAATGTGTAATATTATGTAATGGGAAAGACATTTCAGATCAACCCTTTTCTACTTTAATATATTGGGAGAACTATTTGATTTATTTCTGAGCATTTTCTGAGTTCATAAACCATTTTTATGGTGGCATTAACTATTAAGAACTAAGATCATTCCAAAACCTCCGGGTTTTAACTCAGATTGCACTTAATAAGCTTGTTGAAGGGGAAAATACATACTGGCATAATGTATAGAGGCTTAAGGCTAATACAGCCAATTTGGATTGTCAGTATTATGTTCTGTTAATGGTGTCTGTTCAAAGAGAGTAAAGAACAAAAAGAGTAAGACAGAAATATGTAAGAAAGAAAATCTCAAATATCTGTATTCAGCCAAATTGGCTTTACTTATATCTTATCATAATTATTAATATTGGATTTAATCCCAAAGCACAAATACATGGTATGGGGACTGTATCTGAGTAGTTTAGTCTTTGAGCAAATATCACCTAGCATTTATTATAGGGATAATATGAACTACAAAATTCCCTTGCAGCTCTCTAATCTCACTTTCTTGATATATATTCTACATATTTACAGTACCTTTAAAAATGTCCACAACTGCTGACAAGGCACTTAATGGACACAATAAATTATTTTAATGACTCCATTGATCCATCGAAAGGCCAGAATGAATTAAAAGCACAAAAATCATCAAATGTCAGCTTTTGAAACCATTATTATATCATCTTTTTATGCAGATGATTTATTTATTTTTGTTACCAATGAGTCGTCCTATTGTAACTGCCTCCCAAACCAGATTAGGATATCATATTATAGGTTCAAAACCTCTTACTCCTGTATTGTTTCCTGATTGAAAAATAGGTTGATGATCATAAAGAACATAGACGCAATTCCAAAATGAATTTATTACAGATACTAATGATGCTGTGCTTTTGACTGTATGTACACAAGCTAGATTTTATAAAGGTTTTGCACACAAGTTCTTAAAAGCCATAGAGGCTGTACCATAGTTCTTCTAATACCTGGTGCTTATAGGGGCTGTATATAGAGGAACTTTATTAATATGACTATGATCACATTTTATGTTTCGGTTACAGCGAGGTTAAAATTTAAGAATACAACTAGGGCTGCAATACACAAGTGTGTCATGTCCCCCTCCCCATAGATTTGCAACACTGTCAGTTTGAATGAACTCTATTGTTATGGCCTGTGCACACACAAAGTATGAAATCATTCAAAGAGTGAAATGCAAACATAGAAAGGAAGAGAAGGTAATTAAAATCACACTTAAATGAGAACTAGTAACTGGAGCCTTTGTCTCCTTTGTCTCACATGCTTATTTTGAGTTCACCTAAAACAGCAAATATAATTTATGATTTTAAAGGGATGATTTCTCCTGGTACACCATTCATTTTGTTTGTGGAGGTGTGAGTGAGCATTCGTATTCTAATTGTTTACTTAAAATGTAGCCATATACAGTTATGTCTCACTGCATGCTCTGTACAGTAGTAATTCCTTGATATTCTGTTTCTGTCACTTTCTCCTTTCTCTCTGAATTGTTTCATTTCATTTGTGCTTTTTGTGTTTAATTCACCTTACAAATGAGCATACATACAGTACGTCTGTAATTAATTTATAAAGAGTATGTCTGATTGATATTGCCAGTATTTATGATGATGTTAAAAATATTTACATTTTTCTATCAAGCATTTACTCAACAGTTGTGACTGTTTTAAGAATGACACAATGATGCATTTTCACAAGCACTGCCCAACAACTGAAATGTAAAATTTGGTTGAACATTTTGCATAGTTCTACCTTACAATAAAGTCCAGTTCACTTTGAACATTGGACGTTCACCTCACTGTTGTTTACATGTTCCTCATCAAAATTAATTATTTTCACATTGTGTTGATAGAGGTACTGAAAACTGCACATAGTATATTGCTTTTTATTTTGTTTTTTATTGTTCTGGTGATTACGTCAACAATGTTCTTCTTCAGATCTTTCTTGTTTTTAATATACCTTTCTTTAAGCAATTTTGTTTATTTTGTAAAGAAACACATATCTGAAGGGATCCAGATAGATTCTGACTTCTACTAGAAAACTGATTATTGGCATTGTAAAGTTTTCTATGGATGATTATGAGTTGAACACAAATTTGGGATCATGTCCCCTAAAAACATATTTAAATCATTATGTACATATCAGTATATTATTAATCAGGAACATATTATTACTGTAAATAAATACCTATGACCTTTAAACAGAAAATGCAAAAGGACCTTTTCAATATCATGTATACTGGATTAAGAGAATGCAAAAGCTGATTTATTTTACAGCATCACTTGATCACTTTTTGTTTCTTTTTGTTCTATTTGTCAAAGCACATTTCTTTTGTTTTGCCAAAATGTAATATGTAATCATGAATGTAGTTGATATTCTTTTGCAGCATGAATTTGCTGTAATGTGTCAGCAAACGTATAACAATTTCTTGTACCAATGATCAGCTAAATACAGCTTAATGTAAACATCTTTATCAAACACACACACACACACACACACACACACACACACACACACACAGTACGTACATACACACAAAGGGTCAAGCGATAGCAAGGCTAGTGAGGCCTTTGTATCAGCATCGAAAGTTAAACATCTCAGGTCAGCACAATTCACACTACTAAGGACACTACAACCACAAACTACAACTTTAAACCCAAGAATTGTACATTACCTAAGGAAAAGTACTTTAGTGAGCTTGTTTCAGATGTTTTCTCTGTAATTTGTTTTATCTGTTTAACACAAGTCCCTTAATAGTGTAAACAGTACACATATACACTTTATCTAGCATTGGCAGAATCTAAACACCTAAATCCACCTCAGCCATAGGAAAGTGTCAACCTACCCAATATAACTTAATAACCTGAGATAAGCTATATATATATATATACACACACACACACACACACACACACACACACACACACACACACACACACACACACAGTTTAATCTTCAGAATAATACTGTATGTAGAATGATATGGTGTATTTGAGTGTGAGAGTGTGTGGTGGATGTATGTTGGCCAGACAGTAATGTGTTTCCAAAGCACAACAGAAACTGGCAAGAAAGGTCTGCTTCATAAGTTCTACACTTTGAATATGTGGTTGTACTTCACAGCGCGTTTTTGTTTCATATATTTTTATACTTCTATACTCTGTGTAAAAAAATAAAACTGCGAACACTGTTGCTTGGCAAAACCTTGTAAGTCCAATTTTGGCAATTTTCACATTTATACTATACAGAATGATTACATGTGTCTTCTGGGGATTCTGAAAACTCAATGACATGTATGCTTACAAAATCGTTCATGATCCCTTGTATAAAGTTATAAAGTCTACATGGTTGGACATGGTTGAAAGTGGCTTTTGTTTTTTAATTCCCGGAAAGTAAAGGTTTTTGGAAATGCAAGGTTTTAATCAGACAACAGAGTCTTCTCTGGAGAGCAAGGACAGACTGACATCCTATAGCCTAAATGACATATCTTGGTGACAGTGTATGTTTGCACACACTCACAGAAGAAGCCTTAGCCTCCTGCTGCCCTGGACTTCACTCCAAGGAGCATCAATCCTTCTTACCCTCTCAACACCCTCCACCTTGAGAAATCCTTGTATGTGCCACCCACGAGAACATTCCCAGAAACCCAGAGCTGAACCCTTCTCAAAGATAAGCCCTGTAAAAGTCAGTGTCTGTCTTTATGGAAAACCTATGGAAATGAATACATTGTCAATAAATATTGTATACAGTTCTAAATCTGTGAGTGTTTATTATTGCAGGAAACTGTTTACCAGTTTATCAAAGTTCCTTACTAAAAGGACTGGATGTCCCCAAAACCTCAACCTCACAACACTAACACAATTAATTGGGGTCTTTTGTTTGAGTCTCAGCCGACATATACTAGTTATTTATTTGTACAACTGGAACAAACACCATGAAACTTAATTCATATATAAAGTTACAGTGAACTCAGTAAGTGAACCAGTTTTGTTTTAATGAAATGGCATTAACCCGTGTAATATGGTACAGATCACATTCTTACACTATTTTTCTAAAGAAATTGTTGTACTTTTATGTGATTTGTGGATTTAATACTGACAGGCAAAGTTTGTTTAGTTTTCAGACAACTTTATTCCAAAGCTCAGTAGCTACAAGGTCACTTTTATACTTGCTGGCAATGTAAATTTTCCAAACCACTGCTCATGCATTTGCATTTCAATTTTAAGGCGTCACATCAGAGATCAGTAATACACATTAAACTGTCTAGGGAAATAATGCTTATTGGGAGTTGAGAGATGCTCCTGCTGGTTAAGTATTGTGGTATCAGAACATTCCTACTCCTTTACGACCAGTCATAACATTCTGCATAGAAACACTTCAAACTGATCACAGCAGCTCAACTCTGACCTGATCTTTATTTAGCTAAAGCTTTTGAGCAAAGCTATGTACAGATTCTTTTCATCTGTCTGAAAACATTCATTGAATCAGAGGCAGTTCATGTCTCTCTGCCAAACATTCACTCCAGTACCGTTTCTGTGCTGAACCATCGGACCTCTCTCTCTCCCTTTGGGTGTTGGTGCCTCATTCCAGACTTTTTGAATCTGGATCTTCGTCCTCCAGGAGGCATTCAACATGCAACATGCCTTGTCTCTCTCTTCCTCTGTGTGAATGGGGTCGTTGCCTCTTTTGTGAATATCTCAAATTCATGATTTGTGATTTTGGGTTATATATAAGAACGACTTGACTCAACAGCTGCAGAAAAAAACAGTTAAGTTAAAATTTATATCAATCGGAGCATTCTGTTTTTCCTACACAATGTTTTTTCCAGCCTTTGTTTTATTTAATATGTGAATGTCCTAGAATGGCAGACTTTAATTGTCTTTTTTATTGACCTTAACCACAATCTTTCTTGTAACCAACTTAAGTCGCCTAATGTTAACCTCAGCTTATAGTCATAACCATCATCTTTCCCTTGCATATTGTAATTGCCATATTAAGACATTATACATTATAAAAAAAATACTGTCACTGAACAATATGTGGGGTTTTTGCCGAATTTTCCAATATTAACATTCTGTCTGGTGATAGGGTTGAATGGGAGATAGTTTATTAAGACATACTTTATTTATAAGATATCATAAAATATGTGCTCTACACAAGGAAGAAATTAAAAAGCAGTCATTTATGGGAAATTATGCAAAAAGTACATTTATCATCCTGCATATTTCAGCACACTGGAGTTCACACAATCAATGCACCAATGTTGCTGCTCTATTTTTAACTGCAGTATTTCTTTTATAAAAATGACTGTATATTATCATCAAAAGCAGTTGTAGCCCTTGTATAGTTCAGGAAATGTGGCTTCTAAAGGCTAAATAGTCAGTGTACTTTTGCATAAATGTGCTGTCAAAGGTCAAAAAAACAGTGTATCTCTAAGAAAACTTGAGTTCAGCTGTGAACAAGGAATCAGAGTTTCATGTTGTTGTTTTATCTCAGCCAAGAGGCCTTGCAGCCTGGTTCATTAAATCTGTAAGAATGCTATAATAACTGCAGCTGCCTTTTCAAGGTCTCAAGATGGAACAGCAATTATTAAAAAAACACACATATCCACTCAAAATAGCCTCTTACTTCTACCCAAGCTCTTGAGTATCATTACCCATGTAGTATATTATATAGTATCAATGATATGTGAATAAACTTTTGCAGTACAATTTGATCTCAGACTTAACTCAAACTAATTGATAATTGCTAAAGAACAATACATGTGACTTGTAAGGCTCAGTGAGCAATTCCTCAGGATCCTTCAATGGATTTAAAAAAAATTAAATGGTCCTCACATGTAAACAAGGAGGGCAAACAAAAAAAGGCAGCAAAAGTGCCCTCTTGGATGCCCCTACGATAGATGAAATATCCTCTACAGTAGCCAAATTCTGCAAGAAATCGTTTTTCTTTTTGGGGCGCCATTACAGTGGAGAACATACGATGGAGTGCCATATAGGCTATATGCTAGAAAAACATGGCTTCCACATGCTTGTAAATGGTTAATACTTTCTCTGTGTGTCATTACAGATGTGTACTAATTAAACTTAAAAGCCCATAAAACATTTTTAATCTTAAGCAGACCTTGGAACTGTTTCACCATAAATGCATCATGACTTAGCGTCCCACCGCATGTAGCTTTTCATTTTTTTTGGCCCTGTCCTTCAGACAGCCCACCACTGTTCCAAGATGAAAAGTTTCTCACTGTGTTACTCGTGCTACAACTGTAGGTGGCCAAGGAATCCGCCATGATCAAAGATTTCCAGTATGACAAGTGGGAGCGCTGTATTTCCATAAACTGTGAGTGCTTTGGCCCCCAAACGTGGGGCGTGTGATCGGCACTCTGGTGATCTTGTGGTGAGAGAGGCAGACGGGCATGTCCCTGGCCCCAGAATGTCCCTGGTTCAGATCTTGATACTGACATGAAGCTGTTAATGAGAGAATGTGGTTTCTGGAAGACAGCTGTCACTACGGACTGCTGATATGAAGCAGCGCAACATGATTGCACACTGACAGATTTTACACTTCTGTAAGAAATAATACGAGGATGAATGAGATGCCACAAACCAAAAAACTGTAGTGCCCTTGGGCAAAGCACGGAAACAGTTCAAAGTTTTAATGGAAGCTGTTTGTTGGCAGATATTGTGCCATCTTCAGCTCATAATGTGTGTTCAAAATGCATACATAGCACAGTGTAAGCCAGCTTAATCAAAAGAATCTGCATCCCATGGCAACAAAGATCTTTTCAAATTTGCATTGCCTTTTTCATATGAGCACAGTGTGATGCTGAGATTTGAAACCGAGCCACGGTGGTGTAGAAATAGAGCTCTGGTGGCTTTGGATACGAGGACATGAGTCATGACAAAGAACTGTAGGCAGGCCTGGCATTGCAACAAAGACATTAGAGTCTAATGCAAAATGCTCCTTTTCATCTTTCACCCACAACACCCTTTTTGGTCATCACCCACAGCTTGAGTGTGTGTGTGTGTGTGTGTGTGTGTGTCTTCGTATAACCCACGTTGTGATTTTTCTAAATTATCCAGTGTTTCAGATTAAACTGACAAAGGGAGGCAGTGTTTGTTCACCCAAGATATCATACCAGCATTATGGTAAGGGGTGACTCACCTATGGAGGATATTTAATGATGATGAGATGCCGGAAGTGTGCATAAGTATGTGTGTTTTACACTTTAAATGACTTGCATGAATCATGTTTGACACAGCAAGACTTGTTCTATAGCATCACGGATAAAATTAGTACTGTACCTTCCACTGTAGCAGCCTTAGCCACAGGTAGCTTCTAAGGACTTTAACAAAGATACGCAGAGAAATAAGCCACAGAACCAGTGGGCTAGTCTGGCAGCAGTGCCTTTGATGGCAGATAAACATCAACTGACAAACAGTTTCCTATAGCCACAAATATGTTGTTGGAAGTCTCTTTTTCTGGGAAACACCCCCCTAATCTTTTAGTCTTTGCTCCACCACTGTCTCCTTACAGTTCCAGTATTTTCTTTTTCTTTTTGGATAGTCACTTGAAAGCATTGGGATAAGATTAACTGTAATCAGTTTATAGGCTATTACGCACTTGTCTACTACATTGACTTTATGCGCATTCAACAATGACAGATAATCTGATATCTCAGCTTTATTGTCATTATGTAAAAATGTCAGACTGAGCAGGTAACATATATGCAAAAAAATCCTTTACTGAATGCCAATGCTGTTAAAACAGCAAGAGGAGTGGTGTGATATATAAGAATTGCATTACCATACAGTAGATTAGACCACTAAAATAAATCTCGGCATATCAATATCATATTTAATTTTGTGGCATTATGATGATTTATTTATTTATTCTAAGTGAAGTTGAGGAAAACAAGGACCCTCATTGCTAGGACATCAAACTTCTAATATTCACTGTTTGGTGAGCAACACTTTTGTATGTGCCATGACACCATGAGATAACAAACATCAACATAGCAGCACTGATAACTGGATTTTGGATACAGACAGCAACAAATACAAATACATGCTTCAGAATAAATAAATAAAAACCCTGAAAAGTCATTGCTTGTAACAGAAAGCAACACAATTCATTTTAGGCTATATGCACAACTCAGAACAGAACATAAATGGTACCACTGGCATGACAAAAAAATGACTAGTTTAGCTTGAATTATTCAAAAAGGCAGTTTGACAAATTTTAAACTCACGGTCCACTTATTAGATTTCTTACAGTTAATTGTTACATTTTGTGGCGTTGATCAGTGCATGGAGTCTGCTTAGTTGTAGCAGGGTCTGCTGCATCACATTACCTGGGTATGAAATGTTGGTCACATGATTACAGATGGTCATATGGGGTTCATAAACCCTGTGTCTGTTAAAAGATAGTCTCTGCCATCAGATGTTAATGTCTTCCTTGATCTTTATCCTGCCGTGCACTTACTCCAGGTCGAAGACTTTGACCCCTTTTCAGCCCACACTGTGACTGGTTTTAGTCTGGTGTTCGTGGATATCTGATGTTGTCTGATGTTTTCATTCATTCCCTTGTCCAGTGAAAATATGCAGACACAGAAACTAGGTAACATAGTTGACTTGACAAGGCTAAAATCATTAATCTGAACAGAGTGCTATACGGATAAACATTTCTGTTGACTTTGGTTAGCAAAGTTTTTGCCCACCAAACCTATTGAGCTGAGCTGAGCTTTTTTCCTGTCA